AGGGCTAAGGTCTGAGCTTAGTTAGAGGTAGAGAGAGAGAGAGAGAGAGAGAGAGAGGATAACATGCAGAAAAGGGCCAAAGGTTGGAATGGAATCCATAGTTTCCATGATCTGTGATCCAAGGATTCAGCCTCAGTGCATGGGGCACCAGCTCTACCAGGCGAGCTATCAGGGCGCCCCAATGGCTTTCTGTTTTTGACTGTAATCCTTCCTCTGAACCACGAGTTTCTTTTTATGTGGAGCATCAGAAACCTTTCTTGGACACTTCTTAGGATTTTCCACCACAGGCTCCGCCATAGTTGTCGTAGCCTACTCTGTCGCTACGGTTGCTTCCCCCAATCATTGCTGGTTGATGTAAAATGTATGACTACCAGTGCACCAGTACAGGAAAAGACCAGATTTAAAAACTCCAGTATACTGCTTAATCAGCATTATGTGAACTCGGCAAGGGCTTGACTGTAACGGGCGGAAACTGAGGAGATGGAATAAATGCTGCAGCTGTGAATGGAGAACACTGGGTTACCTGAGAGGAAAACACCTGGAGCATCTGCTGTGAGTCAGGAGAATGAGACTAGGGGACAGGAACAGGTTTAAGGCTTTATAACTACACAAGAACATAATGTGCCGTACTGAATCTAATTTCAAATCACTGCCATTAATTATTTCTTTACAAGTAGCTTACATTACTTTTAACATCATGTTGTAGCATGGTGTGTGAACCTAGCTGCCTTTGCAGAACTTTATAAACTTCATTCATTAGTGAGAGTCAAAGCCATGGGCGTCTGTGCTCTTACACTTGATTACAGTGCATTCCTATGAAGCCGAGCACTCATCTCCTATTCATGCCTTCAAAAGTCCCCTTGGTGAACGCAGCATCAAAGCTTTATGAATGAATCTGCGTGCTCATTAGCATGTTAGCTGAGCTGAGCAGGAACCTCAGTGTGCTGGGCCCTGCGGCCAAACAGGTTTAAATTTGGAAAGCTCTCTGCTAATTACGCAGCTTCATGCAGCACAATCTGTTGGCGTAGCAGCTCTCCTACACTGCAGCTAATCAAGCTGAAGCACTGGCTCCTCACAGGGGGAGAGAGAGATGCTAATCAAGTAGAAAGTAGTGACAAAGTATTTGTGTGTGCGTGTGTGTGTGTGTCCCTGTTCTCCTGTTATTGTACTGCACCAGAGGTGCTGACTGTTTATAATCTCAGAGAGCTAAATGGAGAGAGTTGATGCCAAGAATAGATGGATCTCCTCATTATAGAGGTTCAAAAGCAGTGAAGAGGCACACACAGTTTAGATTCTGCTGTCTGTATAAGAGGCCACAGAGTTTTCTCTTCACAGAAAGGTACCACAGCTGGTAGTCACATTCAAACTATAATGATTTGGGCAAGTGAATACCTATCAAGAGTATTTAAATGTTTTACACAAACCTTTACTTAACATATTATGTTATATACACATAATTAAATATGATATTTATATTGTGAGTAATGCAGTAATATTGAACTTGTGATTTGTCTCCTGTTGATAATTGTTTTGCTAATCTATTTTCAAATGGCTGCCACCTGAAAGACATATCCTAAAAATATTAAAAAACAACAAAAAGTAGTGTAGCTCATCAACAGGGCAACACATTCATTAACAGTGTATTTTGTTTTGCATTTTGGTTTTATGTCTGCAGGGACGTCCATTTGACTTTGAGGACGGAGACGTGTACATGTCGTCCCACGAGCATCGCTTCCGCACGTTCAGCTCTGTGGAGTATGAAGGGCAGCTGTACATGACTCCACAGAACTTCATTGAGTCTGTCACCATGAGCGAACCGAGAAGTATGTTGTATGTTTACGCTTGGGTTCAAAACTCTTACCTACCTTACATACCTAGAGTTAATTCTTTTTTCTGTTCGTATACTGTGAAGAGACCATGCTTTCCTGGGCCTGAAGATTGTCACTTGGAGAGAACTTGTCACTTGTTAAAGCTGTTTCAGTTTGATGTAGATATACAGTTATTTTCATTTTCTTGGTCCCATTTTCACCTAAAATCTGGATTGTATCTAGATTTTGATTGATTACATTTACACGTGACATTAAAATATTTGGCATCACGCATTCAATTTCTCTTTCCCTAACAGTACAGACCTTGTCCTGCTGTTTCACCATCTGGCAATATCCATTTCACTGAACATTTGTGTGCTGGTTGGATCCAAATATTAAAGTTACATTCCTGTAGTGTTGTACACTTGCATTTTGATGTAAATGTGTCTTTATGTACCTTTGATAACAAACTAAATTAGATATATTTTTTAGTTTGCTGATGCCATCTCTGTTCTGAAATTGATTTCCCAATATGGATGTCAGTGCCCGGAGTAAAATAGATCCTTTCTTTTTTTTCTTCCTTTTTTAAACTGAAACCAAGTTTTAAAACACTTTAAAATCCTGAGTTTAAACACTTCTTTGCTGTTTCTGTCAGCCTGCTGCCAGTTGTAACAGATTAGTCCCGGCCAGCCAGCCTCAAAGCAGATGGCTTTACAGCTATTGTTTAGTCTGAGATTAATGTTAGTCAGACACACGCACACACACACAGGCACACACTCCTTGACTTGTCCACATTCCTTTTGCTCACATTTACCCTTTCTCTTAACCAATAAATATCTAAACCAGACACTTTACTTATTTTTTCCTTTATGACAGCTGGTTTGAAAATGTCCTTACAAGTTGAGGTTATCACAATACACACCCTCCAAAAGAGCTACCATTCTTTTCTTCAGCGGTTATGTGATTGTATTGCGTGCAAACTGTGCACCTGTATGTGTGTGTTTACATCTACCCTGGCTCACTGACATACGATACAGCCGCACATACCCTCTCAGCAGCCGACATCCTCTAATGCCCCCTTTGAAGTTGAATTAGATGAACTTTGTTGTATAAAACAGAACAAAAGTAGTATGTGCTTTTACGGGGACATTCCACATACTACAAAGACAAGCACGGGGCACTTTAGACGGTACAAATGGGCCTGTGATGATGACAGTGTATATACAGTGTGTGTGTGTGTTGTGACTGTACCCGGCACATTAAGACCCATTTCTAGATCATACAGATGCTATCTGATCGAGCCCACCCAAACTCTCTTCTCCTCTTTCCTTCTTCTTCTCTCCTCTTTTGTCTTGTTCCCTCACAGACAAGAGGCCCTGGAGGTCCCTGACCAAACAGGTGGGAGACACACTCTTAATGCTGCTTTCCTCTGCTCCTCCATGTTGCAGGCATCTGTTGCATGTTACGTCTGTTGCAAGCGTTGTGTAGTTTGTGTCAGTGCAAAGATAAAAAAATGATTTTGGTGTTTCTTCTTCTATGTAAATGTCACAGTTGTGTGTGTAGCATTAATGCATGATTACAGATCATTATCAGATTCATTAACACTGAAAGACAAAACAATTGCAAGCTTTTACTGACCTATGTGCTTCCAGGCCTTTAAAACTTTAGATTCTATTAGTGCACAGAACTTTATTGTGTTACAATTTTAATTTTAAATGAATTAAATTTACTTTTCTGGCAATTCATTCTCAATGTACATACAAATAGAACATACATATATGAATGAGCAGTCTCTGATCCATTCATTCAACACTGCTTGACTCCCACGATAATATAGCTTTGATGTTGTCAGTAGGTTTGATGGTAAGTTAAGATGTTGGCATTGACAGTGAAATACAGGAAATCAGTGCTATCCCTATCACAATACAATCTTAAAGGTACCCTGTAGAGTTTTCTTGGAAAGAAACAGTTATATTTTCTTTCAGTTTTTTTTACCTGAAAAAAACCCATTTTAGATACTAGAATAAATGGAATGTCAAGATGGATCATTTGTAGTGAAATGTTTCTTCCTTTTAATGGCATGCTGCCCACTTTCTCTCACTCTCTCTGTTCCTGTCTATGTAAAAGTCACGTCAGACAACTCACTTGTAAACTGTGTGTTTATGTGTGCGTGTGTCAGGAGCTGGAGAAGATTTTGACAGAAACTCCCCCAGTATGGAGAGGATCCTCCAAATTGTTCCGCAACCTGAGAGAACGAGGTCGGAGAGAGTACACACACATTCACACACACACACACACACACACACACACACACTTGCACGCATACGTGCGCAAAAGAAGAAAAAACAGAAGCAAAGGCACCTTCAGTACCTTTGGGCAAACTAATACAAACATACACAGCAAATAAGTAGCAGTCAGATAATATCAAGGTCAATGAATGTCGGTGGATTAGGATTTGGAGTTATTTATTTAGCCATTACAGTTTCATGTGCTACTATGAGGAGTATGTGAGGAACAGTTCAATACATTTTATAACATTTCTGCAGCCTTTCAGTGCACTGGTTTGTGTATGTATAACAGGACTTACCTGCCGATGTGTGACTAAATAGCGCTTCTGAGCTTGTGTGTGCGTGTGTCACCGTAGGTGTCTCTAATCCGGGGCTGGAGGCATGCTGTCCCTCCTTTCAGCCAAACAACCTGCTGAAAAAACTAAAAATAAACCTCTCCTCTCCTCTCTTCCCCTCATTACATACAGGAACAGAAAAAATATACAGCACCAAAGAGAGAGAGGGAGAGAAGCTCCCCCTAATTAAAGCATTTGCTTCAGATGAGTGTGACATAGGAATCACACAGTCTGGGAGTGAGTCCCCGTAGTGATAATTACACACGCACACACACACACATTGGGAGATGCTAAATATAATGCAGCCTCTCTTCCTCTACCGTGGTAACGTTTTACATCTTGTAACTAGTTTGAATTTTGCGTTTACACAAGGAGACATGTAAAGTTGGTGGAGTGTTAAGGAATGAATATAATCAGAAAAACAAAGAGGGAGAAATAAAAGAGGAAAGAGAGAATGCTTGTAAACCTATCCTCTTCATGGTAGGATGAAGACATTGCAGTATAGAGTGCATGTCTATTCAAATTGCTGGTGGCATATTGCCAAGACCACACATACGCGTGCACACACACACACACACACACACACACACACACACACACACACACACTTATAATGCCATCCTTCCATAATAAGTCATGTGAATAAGCTGTTGAAATGTTGTTGTGTGTTGTTGTGCATGTGCGTGTGTGTGCCTGTGTCAAGACATGGTCTCCTCTTCCATACATGAAGAGCAAGGAAGTTAAAATCCTTGGGGTGGCTTTGGATTTCTGAGAATGACAAGAGTTATGTGTCAGACAAGAATGCATAGTGTTGGAACATTGTTGACTGTGGTGGTGGTGTGTGTGTGTGTGCCGTGTCCGCCTGTGTGTGTGCGTGGTAGTTGTGTGTTACACAGTAATTGAATTACTTTAGTTTAGAAAACATCAGATGTAATCAGAACTGTGATGAGTTTGTGGTTAGGTGATTATCATTATACCATACCATGCTGGGCATTTACATGACTACAGACTACAGATCATAGTAAATGTTGTCAGCTGTCAGACATTTGTTTAGTTGTTGTATGAACATGCCTTACACAGTATAATGAGTTTATTCTTTTAACCTGTGTAAAAAAAAAAAAATTAAATAACTGGAACAGTTAAACTTATTGTTGTAATTACACAGTTTTGAAATAAGGTGCTATTGCACTTTAAAAATGCAGCATATTCATACATTTCTTTTTTTATTTAGAATTTAGCATTATAAGGCTCAAATATATATATAGCTCTTTTGATAGTAAAGGTTGCTGACCCCTGCCCTAATGACAATTACTCTCTTGCATCAGTGTTGACCCACCTTTTTATTCAGCAGCATGTTGCTGAACGTATGTGAGTGTAAACATGTAGAATGTATTTTAGAAACCTGAGTAGTTTCACAGTGTATCTCCTGGTCTTTGCACAGCTCAGGCTACACAGAGAAAAAGAGAATTCAGTTCCAAACCAGCTCCTCTACACAAAGCAGTCGAGCATCAGGAAAACACTAGGCTCACACTAGTCTTTAGCTGGTGTCATGTTCACCTACACACGAATACACACACACATACACACACACGGGAAAGCAGTCTCCCGTAACACTCAAGCGAGTCACCCTGAACTATCTGAGCAATCAGGACAGAAAGCGAAAAAGAGGGAGACGGAGATGAGATGGAGCTACAAAGATTCCTAAATGGGCCTGAGGCAAGAAAGGATCATCTCCTAAAACATTTTTCACTTGCTTATCCAAACACAGACACATACACATGCACGCACCCCTACCAGCCAGTGTCTTTACTTTGGACACTCGGGGTGTAGAAAAAGAAACTGTGTGTGGCCAAATGGCTGTTGGCAGCTCAGCTCCAGAAGACACATTTTAAGATGCTATCTTCATGAAAGGAAGGATTATCTGTGTTAGTGTGTGTGTGTGTGTGTGCATGTGTGCGTATGTGTGTGTCAGGAGGCCCACGGTCTTTGAACATCTGTAAACATTGTGTGTGTGTGTGTGTGTGTGTGTGTTGAATGTGACCTTTTCTTTAACTCTCTGTCTTGGTCTCATTACTAGGCATCATCTCATACACAGAGTACCTGTTCCTGCTCTGCATCCTTACAAGTGAGTCAGTTCAGTCTCTCTACAGATCCTCCTTCACTTCATCTCATCTTCTACTTCCTTATTCCATCTCTCTCTCACTTTATTAGTATGCTGTGCTTATTGTGGTTAACAAGGCAACAAGGCTTAGCTAACAAGGCTAAGCTACATGATATGAACTATATTCAGAACTTAACAAGAGGCAATTATGACACAAATCTGGTGGTTTTCCCCTTCCCCTTGGGGTAAGACAGAAATTGAGAGAGAGAGAGAGAGTGAGAGAGAGGGAGAAAGAGAAGAGGGAAAAATACCTCTACTTATAACCTTTCAAAACATAAATGTAAATAGGAATGTGAGACTTTTTCAAGTTTTCAATACGATGAAAATTGCACATTTCCATGTCTTAGACTTTCTTACTGAGGTTTAAAGGACCAGCAAAGGCTAAACATATGTGTTCTGGTATTTCTAAAATAAAATCATAAAGTGACCCAAGTTTAAACTGTCAGATCAACAGCTATACCTGATCAATAACAAAGGGGAAGAGTGATATAGACGAAACTGTAGATCATAGTCCATATAGATTTCCACCTGCCCCATCTCCCTCCAGTCTCGCCTATATGCCACTTCATCCCATGCTATTTCTGGATTTAAAATGGCCTTTCACACATGCACACACTCACCCTATGTGCTCTCCTCTCTGTTCTCTAGAGCCCCATGCTGGCTTTAAGATTGCTTTCAATATGTTTGATGCAGACGGCAACCAGATGGTGGACAAGAGGGAGTTCTTGGTGGTGAGTCTCTGATACTGAAAATCCATCCTATGAATGAATTTATATGTTACTATTTACTCCCATCGTGAAAGGTAATGGTTAGGATATTAAAGATATCGGTGATGATGGAAAATAAACTGCATAATGAGAAGAACAGGGATGGACAGAGACAGTACAGTTCATGTTTTTATCTACTTTAAATTCCTGCTGCCTTAAGCTGAAGCAATTTAGAAGCAGATTTTTCAGTTTACTTTTTTTGAAGACAGCTTATTAAACAGCTGAGTAGTCAAACTGCAATAGCATTTCTTTAGATGTGTCTTTCTTTCCCTGTGGGTTGGGACCAAACAGATTTTCAACTGAAAACACTGCTGCAGGCAGGAAGTGATCAGAATCTCTGTGGAGACTGGCAAGAGTGAGCAATAATGGTCCTGTAGCAGTGGGCAGGTGTGGGGACAAAAAAGAACTCCCACATTGTGGTTTTGATAATAGGCATTGATGTTACTGCTTTCTTGAATTCAGACTTTGCCAAAAATTACATCTGTAGTCAAAAGAATTTAATTAAAAAAAAACACAAATGAAGAACGTCAGTTCTAGAAAATCAATACTATCAATACTAAAATAGGAACACGATTACTGTGCAGCAGTAATGTGATTTAGCATTGACTTACCCTTTAACATATGTGACCATAAGTCCTTTTGAAAGCCAAACTAGAAAACCAACACTCTCTAAATCATGTTGTCAAAAGGCTAGAATCACATCACAGACCAGCATGAAAGAGCAAGTGACTTTGTGAACTCAGTGAATGTTTGTACGTGTGAACATTTAAGCTTCAAACAGAGCTTTGAATTGTCAATGAGATCCTCATTTTGTCTCTCGTTACAGCTTCAGGAGATCTTCCGGAAGAAAAATGAGAAGAAAGGAAGAAAAGGAGATGCTGAGAAGTCAGCACAGTTGGTAAGAAAGTTGGTAATGGAAATGAGGGTGTGTTTGTGTGAGGAGAGGTACATTTGTATGGATGGATAATTCAGTTCTTTAGCTACTTACAATTAATACAGTGAAAGGACCATGGATTATAAATTTTGATGGATATAGACTGAAGTTACGCTGCTGTCATCAGTAGGGTAGTTTGGAAGTCCTTCCTGGTCCAGCATGCAATTTATACAAGTGTGATGTAGAAACTTGAAGCCACCAGTGCACATACACTTTGAAGAGGTAGACGGATTATATGGATTTTAATGTGGAAATTATACTTTTAAATTATATTTTTATTTTGCAGAAAAAAATTATAAGACATGCATTATTGTTCCAAGCAGACTATTTGTATATATGTCTTAATACATGTTTAGAGGGGATTTTTTAGGGTTAGTGAGCAGCCATGAATATGTCAAACTATATTGATGTATTGATAACAACACATCATCGTCCAAGTTAATTATCATCTGCATTTAAACAATTACTAAAGTCAGCTAAACCCTTCATGTAACCATATTTAAGTGCATGCTGCCTTACAGAAACTCTTTTTGACAATGTGGTATCTACTCTGTTTTTACTGTGACAGTTATCCGTACTGTGTACTTGTTAAATTGGATACACTCTTAAAAAAATGTGTCCTTTTCAACATTTCTGTTGTTGAAGTTCTGGAACAACACCGATCATTTTGATTTACTACACTGAATGGTAATTATACATGTGGAATTAGAGGCAAATTATAAAGTGATCTGACTGTGTGAATATTAGCTTTTTACTGGCTTATATGTTGGTAATAAGTAAGAAGACATGTTAGTAGAGAAATGCCAGAAAATGTGATTTATAGACACTAATGCACACACAGTCTGTCCACCACAGAAACATGTTATTCACTGCATTATAAATTGGTCACAATTCCTAAAAAATGATTTTCATTTTAGATGTTTGCCCACCTTTCGTCTGCAGGTAACAGGTCAATCATGGCCCTTCCTTTTTACATATTAAAAGACATTGGCAGATGACACACTGCACTCCAACCAAAGAAAATGATCGCTGACAACCTGACAAACACAAACACAAAATGTACTTTCCTGCAAGAACATATTGTTATTCAGTTTTGTCACCTATACAGTCTTCATAGTCATACAATTTATAAAACCTTAACTGCATCTGAAAACATACACAGTTTCACTAAACACCTCTGGGAATTGCAGTGCACAGTGTTGTAATGTAAAGTGTGTGTTGTTCTTAAACATAGATGTGTTGAAAATGGCACATCCCTCTGCAAAGTGTATCCACAGCCTCTTTCCTTGCATGTACTAACATGTCTTTTGCCTTCTCTCCTCCTCCTCCTCTCTGGCTGCATGCTCTGTCCTTCTTTTTCTCTTCCTCATGTCTCTCTCTGTGTGTTAGAGTATGCAGCTCTATGGATATCAGGTTGCCCCCATGAACAGCGTATGTATTCAAAACCATAACCCCTTAGTCTCCTTTCTGTTCTGGTTTAGATGGTTAAAGAAATGGGTGGAGGTTTCAACAGAGTAACAGAGAGATAGGTGTTTCTGTCAGCTGGGTTACGACGTGCTTCATGGTTTTATTTGAAAAAACGTTATAATTTTATAAGACAATAAAGCACACTGGGGGACTTCAGTGTGGTGGGGGTGTAAGCAGCCATAGTAGACATTTTATTTTATTTCTGAATATCCAGAACCTCGTCTGAACATTGTGTTCGTCTCTTATTTTTTTATGGTAAAATGTTATACTTAGTGTGCCTTTCTCAATATCAAGAAATGTAATTATACATGTCATGTCAAAGAATTTATCCAATATATTTATTCACTTTCTTGCCAAGAGTTAGTCAATAGCACCCTCATATCAATCTAAGGCCACAACCAGCAGTGCGTTAGCTTAGCCTAGCACAAAGACTGAGCAGACTGAGAGCAGGGGGTACAAAGAGTGTAACGACGACAAGTTGGGGGGTTGTGTGTTGGATTATGTCTTGGCGGGACACTGACTTTCTGAAGCCTCTGCTGGTTATCTGTCCCCGATTTTACTAATTTAGTATTATTTTGGACTATTTTCCTTCACTCTGGCACGTTTGTTAGGTGTAAATGTCAATTATGTTGGGATACTTAGAGGACTCTGTGTAATGCCCTTGTCACCCACTTTTGTGTCCTGATCCGGTCTTTGAAAAAGCTCTAACCCTGACCCAGTCCACCTGATCCTCTGTTGTCAATAAAATGTCCAAAGTAGACTCCTTGAAAGGATGGATGGACAGAAAGAATGAGAGGGATAGAGAAAGACTTCCTTCAAGACAGGGTGTCCATCTGTCAGGTCAGCTGAGTGATTGATCGAGGGATGATGGAAGAAGA